TATTAATCAGACCAATTAGCCGTCTAGCTTACGAACCTGCACGGCCGAATGTTCGGAGAAATTAAATGTACAAGAATATTGTAATCTCAAGTCCCTTACTTCCGGACTGTTGGGGATGAACTGATCATTAATTTTAAACATTCCCGCGGGAACCTGACACTTATACATAAGGATACAACTTTTGACAGCGGAGAATTTCATCAACCATTGGTTGCTCCATGAGTCTAGCGATAGTAAATCGCTCGTTATGCTAACAATGGTAGAAGCCAAGGCGTCAGGTTCAAAGGAGTACATAATTTTTATGTCGTCTGCAAAAAGGAACGTAGCCCCGTGTGTGATGACGTTAAAAATGTCATTAACATATATAAGAAAAAGTAAGGGACCTAGTACACTACCCTGAATAACTCCACTAGTAACTGGTCGAGGTGATGATAAACTGCCATCAACGTCCACCACCTGCTTTCGGGATGTTAGATATGATGAAAACCAACTCAGGATCGGGTCAACAATTCCGTAGATTTTCATCTTCGCCATGAGCCTACTGTGGGATACTCGATCGAAAGCTTTAGTCATGTCAAGGAGGATTACAATCACTGATTTACCACTGTTAGTGGCCGTAGTTATTAAGTTAAGGAAGTCACACATACAGGTGGCACAGGATCTTTTTTGAAGAAAACCGTGCTGTCCAGTGTTAATGAGGTTATTGTTTAGTAAATGAGTTGTCAGCTTATTTTTTATCAGTCTTTCCATAATCCGGGAAACTAGGGGTGTGGTTCACTGGTCGATAGTTGGTTAGGTCCTGGCGTGAACCTTTCTTAGGAATTGGGATAATAACTGATGTTTTCTAATGGGAGGGGAAAACGCTACTGCTCAGATAAATTAAAAACCTTTGATAGCAAGAATGGGATATCAGTGCCACCTAGACTAAAAGTAGCCGGTGGAACGGCATCTGGCCCGGGGTGGTATGACCGCCTAATTTTAGTTAGCTGTACTGTTAAGTCGTTCGGGTGAAATGTAACCGCTGAGAACTGTGCAGATGTCAGCGGCTCAACGTGATATAGGCATGGGGAGTCATCGGTAGTTAGAGACGAAGCAAAATAGGCACTGAATGCCTCGGAGATCTCTTGGGAGTTCGTTATATAATTGTTGTTATATATAATGGATGAGATAGGAGAACTGCACTGGCTGTTTCTCAACTTCATCAGCTTAGATAAAGCTTCGGACCTCTTGGGGTGACTCAGCGCCCTTAATTCCTGTTTTTTACTGCGGGACATTTCAATCAATTTCATAGAATTATATAAACGGTTCATTTGCAAGAACAACGAAAAGTCTCTCGACCTAAGGAATTCGCGTTGTAGCATAGAAAGCTTCTGCTTTAATCGACAAAAACTGTTTGGTTTATCTCGTCCAGGTAGACCTTGGGTTGGGGTGATTACGTCAAGACATGCATTTAGTGTGGAGTAAAGGTGATCCACCACGGTATGCAAGTCATCAGATAAAAAGAAAGTATCCCAGTTCTGCGAGCGAATGAGTGAGGGTAATTGATTCCAGCTAGCTTGGTGGAACGGTCTTTTAACGGTTGGTTTGTGAACGGTTCGTGCTGGCACTGAAAACTCACATTTTACCGGCAAGTGGTCACAACCTGGGATGCTGTTCACGATAGATGTGTGCACGCGAGATAATCCTACCGTAAAAATGAGACCAAGGATGCTACTGCCTCTAGTTGGGCACTTCACATGTTGAGTCCATCCTCCTAAACGAATGCTGGTCAGGAAGTGTAGTAAGTGATGTGGAGCTTTCAAAGTGGACCAACGTATGCCTGGTGCGTTAAAGTCGCCAGCCACCAGTTTTGGGCCGGTTATGTCCGCAACAACGTTTAACGCCTCTATGATAGGCAGAAAGTCGTTTTGACTAGTATTCGGGGGGCGGTAGATGCAACTAACAATGAAGTCAGAACATCCTGTAGTGACCTGTAGCCAAACTGAATCAGGCAAGTTATCGAGTATGGGGTGCTGAAATATTTTCGCTCGCATGTTTTGTCTTACATATATAAGACAGCCTCCCCCTCTCTGAGTGAGTCTATTTTTCCTGAAAGCTTGGTATCCGGTGATAGCGATATCCTCGTTTGGAGTGTTGTCTGTCAACCAGGTTTCGGTAATTAAAATAAGGTCGTAATCAGACGTGAGCAGTAATATACGCAGCATTCGCATCTTATTCACTATTGAGCGTGCATTCAGCATAAACAATGATAACCGTTTAGTGGAGTCAAGGTTAACGTTAAGATCTTTATAGGATTCCGAAATTTTCATTTGCTGAAGGCGGATCGGATGACGCAATCATTATTCCTTGAGATGGAGTAGTCGGTAATGTGGATGGTGAAATAAGCTGAGTAGAAACACCTGGCGTGGCAGTCAGCTTGGTTGTTAAGCTAAGCTGGGTGTGACTAGTACTGATGAGATTCGTTAGATTGGAAGGATGTCGGCGGTTGGTAAGTCTACTTAGTGCGGAACAACACCGCGAAAGATCACTATCGAGTGCTTTACTATTGGTAGATACTGGTGGCTGGGACGTAGAAATATGAGGGAGGGTTAAGTGGGAAAGAAAAAGGACGTGTAGCAGCCTCAGGTATCTTGGCACCTGCCTTAATACGGGTGGTAACACAGGTGCCCTCTTGACATCAGTAATTTGATGGGCTGTAACCTGGAGGGGGGATGTGAAATGGAAGTGGGATATACGGGTGTTGGTTGGCGTAGAGACTGGGAGGTCGTGGGTACTGTTGTAAGTGGCCTGCGGTAGAAAAGGGATTCAGGGTGGGTGAGATATGTGAACGATAAAAGGAAAGAGATTCATGTGAGAAAATATTACTTAGGCTACGATAGAAGTTATGTAGAACACTAAAGTAATCGTTTGGTATGAATGGTGGCGTTGTTGAAGAGGCCCGGAGGTTAGTTGTACCAGCCTGATGAGGATGATAACCAGGTGAAGAAAACACGATACTGGGTGGAATGTGCGGTGCAACTAGTGGTTGGTGGTTTGGATTGGGGAGATAGGTCTTGAATGGCGTTTTCTTGTCCATTGTTGCACTCCGTGTTGCCTCGCTTGGGGTCCTTAGCCGTTGGAAGTGTGGCTTGATGAGTGAGTTAGGATTGACCGTAGTGTCAACAATGTGCAGTCCACCTAGTAATGATGTTTTCGCTGGTTTGGGGGATGGCCTAGGCTCCGTAGATTGCAGAGTGGCTAATGGAGCCGAGTGGAGAGATGGCAAAGAAGAATTTGGGGTGACTCCGTTGATGGGTTGGGGATTTCTGGGTATGGCTGTTAAGCCAGTTAGGCGGTTCGCATCGTCATCGATCGTGGCCGATATTTCGGTGATAGGTAATGGTGGAATCGAGTTAGTCAGCCCAAGAGAGGACAGCTTGCCAGGGGTAAACTCTATGCTTCTTGGTTTCTTAGGCGCTGGCTGGTGAGGTGACGTTGAACTGGATATATCTAAATCGACGTCAGACATATGGGATCGATGTTCTGGTGAACATGAAGCCGAATTGATATTGCATGCATTTTGCGCATCGTCAGACTGAGAAGAAGCGGATAGTTGATGGCGGACAATTTTTGACGAAGCTGAATGCGTGCTGGTGGACCTGGCGAATTCCCTTTGTAATGGGGTTTTTGTCGGCAGCAATTTTAATGTTCTTGAACGGGGATCTCAAAGCGACGGTGGATTGGCTCTTAATGAATTGTTTAGCGGGTTCCTCTTCAATAAATTTGAACAACACTGGACAGGATTTGCGTTGAATGTTCTTTCGTAGCCGAAAGCACTGGCAGGGGTGGTGTGCCATATTAATAGAACTTAGAAGGTTATGTTTTACTTTCTCAACAGGGATTCTGTCGGGAATATTAAATACCACAGCATTTTTTGAGTTACTGATTCTTCGAACTATTTCTGAGGCAATGGCGTCTATGAAACGCCCAGCCGTGACTAGGTCTAGGGTTGACGGATTTGTTGGAGGGTCAGAGATATACGTGAGCGGAATTAGCTTGGATAGGGTCGTATCGATCAAAGAAATGTGGCTGCTGAGATTAAGGAGATTGTGTTCTATGGTCTCTACCCTTTTGTTTGCCCCGCCAAAAACATCGGTCAGGCTAACGGAACAAGGATTCAGTGGGAGTTTTGCGACTTTCGACTTGGCGAGTACTTTTGGTCGGATGTTGGTACGACCAACCAGTGAGGATGCGGTTTGTCTAGCCGGCAGTTTGGACATTGCAACACTGACCGCGATTGCACTAGAGAGCTAAATACACAGAGTAGTCTTACGTTCCCCAATGTACAGGCTTACTGAAATAAAAACGTGTAACTCTGTGGCTTTGGATCAAATAAACTTAAAACTATGGAACTGTTGATATAGAGTCTCTGAAATTAAACGAGGACTTCTTTCAGGGAATTCTCTGAATTAATATGTTGAATTGGGTGGTAGACTGCCACACAGTCGCGCACGATGGTGCCAACTTTTTCTTATTTTAGACAAGTTTCCCTCAGTTCATATCCTGGGACCCTAGTAGCAAACCGGATCCGGTAACTTGCCGGTATTGTTACCGGTAGGGTGCCGGTACCGGAAGGGCACACCGGAATCAAACCGAAATCGGAGTACGATTTCAATCCATTTTTAAATTTAAACCCGATTTTCGAAATCGCCCACGCCCCTCCAACGATCATGCCATTCTAGCTTTTCCGAAATTTACGCAAGTAGTTAACTGATCGATCAAGTTACCTACGCGAACAGTCTTATCCCCACATACTTTGCACACACAATTTTATGATTGCCTGCTACTGCATTCCGAAAGCTTGTCCACTCTCCCACAGCGATGCTTACTTGAGGACGGCATGATCTAACGTCTTACAACTGGCAGTGCAACCCAAATGACACTCATTCCAAAATGCTGAACCTTAGACATTTCAAAACGAACAAATTGTACGAAGTAAAAATTTTATATATTGTTTATATTTACAATGTGAATCTAACGAACAATCTTCTTCCCATCACACTTTCGCGCCGACATCTGGAAAGGATAACAAAAGTGTGAATCAGAAATAAGATGAATTGTGGGACGAAAATAAATATACGTATAGATATGAATAATCAGATACATACAAATAGAATACTGCAGTGATATATATACTACGGACTCCGAAACGGTAATTAGTTAAGTAAAGTGAAGCATGAAATTCGTTATCGTCGTTTGTGCAAATAAATAAAACAATTTACCATGGGACTGCAAATGCGTGATCAGTGAACGTACCTGGCAGTTTTGCGTCCTAAGCCGCGATCTCTTGCGTCGGTAAACCATCGTTTCATGGTACGCTCGATCTCCAGCACAGACGACTCCCGGAAACGATTGGTAGATTTTACGGCATCTGTAAATAAACAGTAATTATATTTCATTAGACTGACCAATGACGGCTTTAGGAAACTTGTAGCTTCCCACTGCAATTTTACCAGCTGTTCCGGTCCAATTGCACGCGAGTGCCAAATTCTCCCCGATCAAAGATGCAAGCATTCGGCGTATACTTGATTCAAGATCGGTGCACAGATGACGCTTGAGTGCGTTGACCTTATAATATGATGTGGAATTATTCTATCACTTACAGTGCCCGTGAAGTTATTCAGTACCGAAAGATCTTCTTCCAGTTTCAGAAGATCTGTGATATTGTCTGCTTGTAGAGGCTCGTAGTCCGTCGTATTTGTCGCATCCAGGCGACAAATTACGCCGTCAATTTTGGCGATCATCAACGCCATATCGTTGCGAATGCCACTTAGGTTTGACAGCATCCGTTCGAAGTAGTCTGGTAATCGTAGTAGCTGATAATGAGAAACTAACCTTGCCACTTGCTGGCGTAAGCGGGCATAGGCTGTGGAGATAAGGGCGTTGTTACAACTTGTATTGTGCTAATTGCAGTATAGGAGTGTAAGTAACTTTTACGCAACATACCTGGGACCGGCCACCTTTGACAATATGGCATCTTCGCTGGGTCTCCTCTGAGACTTCAATGTTGGTGGACTATAACTAATATGAAACGAGGACTTCGCACTGGACTTACCTAGGTGATGAATGGCCAAGAGCCATGGTATCACCGGGGGAGTCGGGGAATTGTATCGGAGACTCTCTTCGAATCCTCTGCGACGGAGGTATCTCGACAGAACTGTCATCCGATGACAATGGTACCGGTATTCTAAAAGGAATGTGATAACGTATAACAATGTACCTGCGGCGAACGGTGTACCGCTGCGAAAATGGTGTCATGGGCAACGTATCATCCGTTGACGCCGACATACCGGATTCGGCAAGAAAATTCCTTTCGAATCTAATTGCGTCTCTGAGATTATCTGAGAAGAATGCATATAACTGGGAGTGTTACCTGAGTGATAAATCTCATGAAAATCGTATGCTGGAACCGTTTCCGGCAAACATCCACCGTCCAACAAGAGGCGTTGGAACCGCTTCGAAGCTGTAGCGGTTGCCATCTTCGTTCATACTTTTACCACGTTTATTGTTTAACTGAACGCTGACTGCCAAGCGCGGTGGCCATTTGACCGTTGCTCTTGCGCACGCTCCCAAATACACGCTAACCACTATCTCTCCCAATCGCCTTCTCGTTCTCACGGGTCGTGGAGAATACTGTTCTGGTTAACATATTTGTGCAGTGCCGCACATTAGAGTAACGTGCAGGTGGTCCACGCAGTACAAAGGACCGAAGCACGCGTTTACTAAGGAAACTGACAGTACTTTCGGCCACGGGAAATGGTGTCAGTAGGGAAGCGGGGGATGGTGGACATGCAGCTCGATCCTCAAGGCGAGTAACCTGGACAACTGGCAGCACTCTCAGCTTAGGATCGGCTTTTTGTGGAATTTCTGGCTTAGCCTTCTCATTGTGGAGCCTCAGATGGAATGGCTTATCAATGGATACGCCCTTAAGCCCTTTGATTTCCTCCTTGAGCTTTGCGGCCGAGGAAACAATTCATTTGGCTGCATCTGTGGAGCCCATTTCAATGAGAACAGCGTGAACCCGGTTGTTGCGTTTAGTTGCCAACCAATTGGGCCGACTTCTAAGTGGGGAAGGGAGCTTTAAGGCGGTTGAACACCTGAGCATAGGTGTTATGAGGGTGATCCAAACTGAGGAAGCGACCCCAAAGGAGGACTCGCTTGGAGCAATTCTCGATGTCTTGTAAAATCTTGGCGGCTTCAAGAATTTGCTGCTCAGAAGCTCTACACACCTGATCGGCTTCCTGGGACACCGAAAGGGATTTGATAACCAAACTTCTCAGGCTGGTCAGCCCATCCTTAAGGGTGTAGACGGTGGCCCTTAGCTCGGCTATCTCTGCAGCCTGACTTTAGATTGCGCATTTAATACATCCGTTGCCAGCGCATTATGAAGGACCGTTTCGTCCGGATTGAGGAGTGGGACATTGGCCACAGAGAGGGAATCACACTTTCTCATGGGGAAAGTAGCCTCATCCGGGCAAGCGGTTATATCAATGGTGAGGGGCGTTGACACTTTTCAGGATCCAGTCAGCACAGATAAAGATGAGTTTAAGTGGAGGGGGACGAGCTGTGTGTTCTAAAAATTTCAAAAACAGCTACATTCACCGAGGAAGACGGCCGCACCGCTGGTGTTCTGCAGTTCAATGCTAAGTAAAACAGGCTTGATCGATGAAAGAGGGAAAAAACGAGACAACCTAATATCTACGTCAGGTTGACCTTGACCTCGAATGGTGTTGCATGGACTTAGCATCGCACTTAGTATCGCAATTAGCATCGGGTGCATATCAGATTCAAATCTGATCACCCGAGACCCCAAAGATCCTCAGGTGCTGCAACGAAAAGTGGAAATATAGCATTTGTTCCAGTGGTCACGACAAGGTCACTGGTCAGTAGTTTTCCGGCCATCTATTTCCTTTTTTGAAAAACAAGAGAATCCCGGTAGACAAACAAGCTACCACAGACCACACTGGACCACGAGACATGGTAACATGATAAGCTGTCATCGTCGAAGCTGATACCATGGCGCTCATTCTTTCGTTTTCCCTCTAGACTGCGGTAGTGGTGCTTGCTTGGATGATACTGGAGGCTTAACATCTTGATACATCGTATATGGGCACGACTTAAGCTTTGACAGTGAAGGTGGTGGAGCAGGAAAAAGGAAGACAGAAAATTATTATTGATAATGAAGAGTAAGGTTATAACGCTCGGAAATAGAGGAAAACGATAAAGAGAAGTTCAACGATTTGAAAATTGCTCAGAATTAGCTGCGATGCTGGCTTCAGTGAGAGTGAAAATGCGCTAGCCTAGGATGTCAGACTAAGGGCACTTCACCGTGCTAGGACTCCTCCGTCAACACGACTCAATCCGATCTCTGCTACATGTTTGGTTTCATTCCAAAACAGGTTGAGGACCAGTTTTGCGTTGGGTGATGGATGATATGTGGCGTCCTGACGTGTGATGGCAGGTCGGCAGACCCCTGCACCTCTTGCTCAGAAGTCAACCTTACATTTTGTTTCTTTTTTCCCGACCTTTGACTTCCAGGTGTCAAGGTTTCGTCATTGTCCTCTGGTACTTTTTTAAAAACATAAATTTTTTTGGCAGTCTAGTATCGTACCTCACTTTTTGTCGGCTTCCGCGGTAGAAGCCCGGTGGCCTCCTATATCACATCATCTTGTGACTTCAGTTTGTCAAGTTAGGGGCAAACAGGATAATACAACACATCGGCCTTAGTTTTTATGTTTTGTAGGAAACGCTCAACAGGCCAAGGATCACTGCTCCATTATAGTGACTTTTTGGCGACTGCATTAGGGTAAGTGTTTAGCTGTCTTGTGCTCCTATTATTACTAATCTCTTCCTATGTCGTCGGGCCTCCCATGTTATGACGGTAATGCTGTGTGCGAGGCCAATACCTTATTAGTCTGTGGTGGCTTCGCGCAAAAGTGTGGAAAACAGGTGAGTTTAGGTTTGCTCAATTTTGCCGTGCTAGCCTGTGAAACCGGGTTCCAGTTTATCCCTGTAGGTGAGCGAGAGAAGTTGGGTTTCACCGTCATCCACGAACAAGATTCACAGCACTGTCCAGGTTTTTTTCCTGATGAAAACGTTTTCCTGTAGTTTCAAACACTGCGTGCCCTGCTACTCAGAGATCATGAGGTAGTCTGTGATTCTAAGTCAGGCCTCCAAACAAGCTGTCCCAGTGGGCATCTGACTTCCTCCTGCGATGAATGACCCCATGAGCCTCCACAACGGATGCCGGTGGTTTAATACATCGAAGGACTATTAGTTGGGTGGAGAAACTTACCCTAGCTTCCTCACTGCAATGGAGTTTTACAAGCTTCAGCTCGTGTTCTCTGAGACTGTTATCTGTCCCTACTGGCACACTGGATCCGGCGTGGCTCCGGACCGGTTCAGGCAAGGTGCCGGTAGTGTTCCGGTGGTTCTCCGGTAACTTTCGGAGATCTTTCGGAAACGCTACCGGTACCGTGCCGGCACAGGTACGGAAAGAGGCGGAATAGTGGAAAATCAAAGGTTCTAACGCATACTCCATCTCCACGTACCTCTAGATTCCAAATCTCTCTCCTGATTTAACAACGCTTCATTAGCCGCTGTCTAATGGTGCTTACAATCACTAGCCAGGAAACTACACTACCAGGAGATATTAAATTTCGTGTTTTGATAATAACGCTTTCATCGATGGGCCAAGTTCATCATTAACATCTCACGTATAGCTGGCACTAAAAGCGCTTCATCGCGATGGGAAACAAACTGGTATGAAAGTGCAAACGGGCAAAAAAGGAGGAGTAAATATAAGTAATAAATGTTTATGAAAAATCATTGTACAAAAAAAATGTTGTACTTATTCTCCCAACATAGTTTTATGTACCGGCAACACTTGGAAAGGAAAACGCAACTGAAACAGTGGTTTGGCAGTGTGAACAATGATGTTGATATATATATATATATATATATATATATATATATATATATATATATATATATAATTCGCGTACGTTGCAACGTACCCAAACTACGTGAAATTAGTAAATTGTGGTACACAAGTGAAGTGTAAGGTTGTTTAAGGTGTGCTTCACGGGGTAGTTTGAGCCTACCTGGCAGTCCGACGACAAAAACCCCGATCGCGGGCATGTGTAAACCACCTTTTCGTAATGTGGTCAATATCCAAAAGTGACACTTCTTGAAACTGAGTAGTCGTTTTTACGGCTTTTGTGAAACTAACTGTAGTATTGGCGAAACAGTGTCAGCTACCACATCGAAGGAAAATCGATAATTTCCGATGGATAATTTCCCGGGCTCTTCGGTTCAATTACACCGAAGTGCCAAATTTTCTCCAAATAGCGAACACAATATTCTTGCAAAATTAATCAGGGTTTGGTGCCAACGTGGAGCTGTAGGGCGTTCATCTTCATTTGTGAGCCTCACCTTCTGTGCAACTTAAGGTTCGGTTAAGATTAGTTTGTTTCCAGGTCCTTTTCCAACTTATGCATTTACGATTCATCGTTATCCCAGAATAGCTCGTAGATGGTGGCCACCCTTCCCTCACCACAGCTAACAAAACCGTCAAGTTTCCTCATTATCGAAGAATGGTCGATGTGCAGACCACTGAAGCAGCAGAGAATACGCTCCATATAGTCTGAATTTCATAATCAGGGTTTATAGACCAATCACCTTGTCACCTTTGAAGGAAATCCTGCATTTAGCACGTCGATTGACCGGCGGGTAATGGGAGAGACGAGCTAGAGGAAATGTTTTTATCGCCTGAACTATAAAACCCCCAACCTCGGATTGTCAAAAGTGGTTTCTGTCTCCTGCCTTCCGGGGTTCCTTTTATCTGCCAACCTTGGTGGACTACATAGAGGCATGGTGAGGAAAGCTGCGTTTACTCTACCTTGGTGAGGGGTGAGTCAAGTTTAAAACTGGCCCTGGAGTCATTGGTGATTGTACGGGAGGTTTTATACGGATCCTTTGAGCTACAGGGAGTTTCTCAGAACAAACAAATGTGAAAATATTGGATACTATTGAGGAATAGGGAATGAAATGGTGATTATCCTGCGGCGAACGGAATAGCGCCCAGAAAACGGCGTCATCGGTAATCTAACGTCCGACGAAGCCAACTTGCAGGTTACATCGATACACTTCCTCTCGGAATCCATTGCATCCTTCAGGTTATCTGACAGCACAAGAATTTAATTTGAACTTACCTGAGTAATATGCTTCAAAGAATTCGTAATCTGGAACACTATTTGCCAATTTGGAACCTTTCCACAGCAATCTCCGGTAAACCTGGTAGGTGGACGACTTGGGCCAACGTATCTCTTTGTCATCCACAAACCAGTTACTGTGGAAGATGGCCACAGATTTACTACAAGAGGAAACAACTACTCAATACTTCTAAATAAGTAAGAAGTTGGCAATACGCAGTGTTATTATTCATTATAAATTTCGAGTGCCATATACACATCAATAAGTGAAATATCAATAGGTGGAGTATGTAATTTGGGAACAATTACATGAAGACTGCCATCACTTATGGGAAAGCATTGACACAGAAAGCTACTTACAGAAATTGTTGCAACACCATTGTACAAATCGTCCGCATAATATATGTACAGGTGATTCGACTGCATGTGTTTGCTGAAAAACTGACACGGGTTTCGAAAATATTTCACACCAACAGATGCCTCACATATGTCGAAAATTTAAACCGGTTTACCATCAACGATAGCGATGTTGTTCTGTGAGTTGAGGGACAAGATATTGTGGTTCACTAAGACGGCGTTCTGCATCCGCGGAATCGGTCAGTTGGTTTTCCGACATCATTCTGTGTGTGGGCAGTGGAATCCGGGTTGTCCGAACTAATAAGCTCGCACAAACGGCGATACAACTGCTGTGAAGGGTTTCTGGGACCGTAAACACTGAATATTAAATTGCGTAGATAGGATTAAAATGGAAAACAGGAAAACGCGCTCAGCGATTGGTGGTTGAAACATCATTAGGTGGATTAATTAGGGATTTACGTTGTATATATTTTTTGAAATATCGTCCAAAGAAAGGAGTTTTTGCACAAATGCACGCAAAATAGATTCCGCAAAGGCATTGCATGATATGTACAAAACCAGATAGCACAAAATATCAATGGCAACCAGAAGCAGCATGAAGTGCTCATTAGCATCTTTGTTCAACAAGTCCTTCAAACAGACAGACAAGAAATCTAATAAAAATGTGCGAAATTCCGTTGCTTCCCACCGGTTAATATTATGAAGGTGGCGGCAAATCTGCTGGAAAGCATAGGGATTGTTGGCATGTGACTGAGGCATCCGATTGCCAAGGTCCTTACAGGCACTTTGATCCAGGCGATCAAATGAGTTGCGAAGACCGTGCAACTAGTGATCCAAAAGTCCATCCATCAGACCCAAACAGACAAGACGCATATGATCTAATGAAAAAGCCTGAACCATTTTAGTGGCGGGGGAAAACAAAGGGACTCAGGCTGATGTGATGTTTCCGATGCCGCATTGTGCGAAATGCCTCGTCGTCAAGGAGCTCGCACTTAACTCAGGGAAACGTCATCTTTTTTTCACAGTGCAGGCAGCTTTGTATTCACCTATCGCAACCAAATTAACCAGTTGGGTCTTTCACTCGTTTATCGAAACTCCGGACCGGAGTACCGCAGCTCATCGACGACGGTCGGCACTGAAGGCGCTAGTCACCAAACTGTATTCCTTCGGTTTACGCTTTGCTCAACGCCTTCACGCATTTACCCACGAGAGTTGATACGTTGTACGGTTTTCCCATACCACACTATAGACCGACGGTGACAACTTGGAGGCAGACGAGCGAGATTACCCTCACAAGTAGTGGTCACAGCTGCGTATTTGATGAGCGATAAACCGAATAACCATGACAGTTCACCTGAACGTCAATCACTTCAGAAAATGTGGTGATGTTCCTTAGTTGTCTTGTCAGAAAGTTATTCAGTCCCACATGAATGTGAAGCCCTTTATCCAGATTCTTGATGGAACATTCTTTCGATGTACCCAATACCTTTCTTGGATCCCGACAAAGATTCGATATACGTCCACTGATTGCTTCCAAGATTCTCCTTCGTTGGGCCAGACGCAGACGAGAACGGACAAAGGCCTTTCTCAGGGAGTCCAAAAGTGTACTTACATCGTCAGCAGACTATGGTGCACGTCATAAGCAGTCCAGAAGAATAACTATTAACGGGAGTCATTGCGCCAGAAAAAGAACCAAGGCCTGTTATTGGCGACTGTCTTTTAGAGATAACTGCTTCTTAAGTGGGAGCTTCAACTGTTACTAAAAAATGAGTCAATATTGGTATTCAAAGGAACATATTGCTCATAACCGCTGGTCGCTTTGAGAGAGCCGTCGGAATAGTGTCCCCTTGCAACCATGCCTCACGCTGTTGGCCGAACGGCACGTTCCTTAGAATCACAGTGACGCGTTCAGCGGACGCATCCATGAGCAAATTCCTCAGAATGAAAGGTAAGAAGCTAAAAATTGCTCTTACCTGGCAAACCCAACTTGGGACAACGCACGCGGAGCTCCCACAATGTGGCCTGTCCACAAAAAGAAAACTTCACAGGGCTGAGTTCTTTCTGCTCAATACGATATCTTTTTCACTTATTTATTTAAGCCATTGCAACTGAATAATATGACGGTTTCTCAGAAAACTTATCCAACCATTCGCAATTAATTCCGGAGAACGGAGGGAAAACGGGCTAACCCTGGACCATACTTCATGTGCCATTTGACACATGCTGGAATCGTTCGTCATTTCACCAGAAGACTACTGGATGCATTCCAAAACCCCTTCACAGGGCCTTTTAAGTGAACACGTTTTAAATCCATAACGCGGGCAACATCATTCAACATCGCTTCATGCTCAGTGACTGTTTATCCATCATAGCAGCCCACTTGAAGACCAGCGGTAATTATCACTCCGGTTGGGAAATGCCACATGCAACCACCAAGAAACTGTACTTTGTCCAGTTTTTCTTACTCTATATTGACGACATTTTTTCGATTTTGCAGCACGACACCCCTTTTTTCTTCGCCGACGACGTCAACCTATAGATGTCGAGTCCCTCCAGGACCTCTGTCACCGAACCAAGTGCTCGTCATCCCAATCTCATCAGTGAAGGATCTTGGGCTTCGTTACAATAACAATCTACAATTCTCGGAACATGTCTCATTTCAGGCGGCCAGGGTCAGACAGATAGGCCTTCAGCAAGAAGCTAGTAGGTTACTCTTTGCCACTGAGCTATAAAGAGCTATGCACTCTACTGAAACTTGACTCCGTGCGGCTTAGACATGTTAGACCCAAACTGTGTATTCTACATATACATATTCACTGCTCTGCGTTCACTTTTACCAAATTTATAGTTTTTGCTACCCTCATCTTATTCTCCGCGCCACAGGTACTTCAATCTGACCATCCTACAGTCCAGGCTGGCAATATGACCCAACTTCTCTCTCGTTAAACACTGAAAGCCTTGGAATAAGCTACCCCTGACTACTCGCAAATGTGCGTCAATAAACTAGTTTAGGCATGTCCTAAAATCACAACTTACCGTGAGTCATCTGTCATCGGTCATCTTTGACGAACGACAGCATATCTAAAGATCAAGCCAATGGAGAAGACATTGAACTTTGGAACTCCAGTTTCCGTTTCTCCTCCCGCTCTCTGCTATCTGTCGAGCTGGTCTCCGAAAACGGGTTCCACCACAAGGATCATAGCCTCACATCCAAAACATCATTTCTTACCTAACGACAGACTCCAGGCTTGCTATTAATTATCCTTTTTTACGCATACCGCACACAACCCGCATTGCAGTGGGATACAGATTTTGCCGTCTACAAATATAACTGGTTAGATGCCTGCCGGTTCTCGCTACTTATTCACGTTCACCTACTATCACCTAAGCCTTACACGACCACGCCTTATCTAACTCATCAGTCGGTCTTCACAACTGTCTAGACAATTACGGCCTCCCTTGATATGGTACTGAGGCAGCCATATAAAACAACTTTCCTGTAGCTCAAGGCTTTTAGCCATTGACGTTTCCCCCTAGCTTCAGGTGGCTCAATGGTGCTGTATCATAGGACATTAAGTTCCATTGCCTACTACTTTAGTTCTTAATTCTTCGACTCTTCTCTTATTTATTCTGGCTTCCCTCCCCCCAGCTTTCTTGACCGGCCGTAATTTGCTTTCCCCAATCATCATGGTCGAAGATCATTTATCCCATATGTCCGATTTTCAATAGCTACGCGTTGGCCTTTATTTCCTCCTTTTATATTTCCCGACATGAACGCTAGTCTGTGTCGCCAGGACTTCTGAATTCATCACTAACTTAGACTGATCTCCTCTCTCCGTGTGTCCAGTACCATCTCCTACTGTGGCAGCCTAACTCAACCAGAAAGGCCTCTTGCAGTCTTAGGCACGGTCTGGCGCTTTACGAGACTGAAGCTTATATACAAGCACGTGCAATACAACACTCGTTGTCCTACTCCGTGTGTTTGCTTAGCCTCACTCTGCATTTCCTCATCCCATGCAGGCTAAACCCCTGATGTCAAGGCACTTCCACCAGAGCTGCTTCCGGGAAAACACACCACTCCCAGTAGTTGTACACAAATGACAAAAACGCGGAAAACAGCGGTCGAGCGGAGGGGCTTTGAAAAGTTCCTATATGGGCTCAACCACCCCTATATTAGATAAAAAAGCTGAAAAAGAAAAAGTGAAGAACAAAAAAGACCTAGTGGGAACGACTTGATCTTTCAATACGGGTAATTTTGGGCTGTGAAGGAAATGGGCAACCTCCCATCAGCTCGGACCTGACCCTGCGAAAGGAAAACTCCACACTGCCCTTGTCCGCTTGAGATGCTTTTGGTTCCTACGCATGACCCCGACTGGGGTGATAGCCAACTGGTTTCTCCAAATAAGCTCGTCCACATTCCGCTCTAGATTTCAACCACCTCGTATCCTGCCATGCGCTTCTGGCATGCTAGTTGACGTCAGCTGCAAAACCACGGTGGCTCTGGACAACAAATCAATAAATCAGATGACAGACACGTCTCATCAAAGCGCTTATTATATCCATGTAGATAATGTTGTATATATGAACACACATGTAAGAACGTCGAGAAAGGCCCCAGTGTTTCTCAACCACTTATTTATTTTTCCTCCTTTCCGTAAGAAAGCAGCGTTTCCCTTGTCCTAAAATCCAAACCACCCTCCAGTTTACATCCTTAAGCAACAGAAACCTGCAGCATTAGGCCTGTAGATACCACGAGATGGGATTTGTCATACACTCTCTCGATCTATCATATAATCTTGCCATTCGGGTTCCTAATTTGTCCCAGCTGCTTCCTTGTGGCCTGTAAAGCACCACTGTGAGATTTGTCATGTATCCCATAGATCTATCACGCAAACTTACCATTCAGGTTCTTCGTGTTACGTAGCTGCTTTCTCACGTATCTCTTAGACCCTGTAGTCCAAATGCACCTCCACAGCTTTATTAACCACGAAAGATAAGACTTCTCGGTGAACGGCCGAATCGG